ATAACATAAATATCACAGTAAAACATATTAAATATTCTAAATGTAAAGGGAGAAATTKTCATTTCTGAAAATCATTACAGTTATCTTTTTTTCTTTTTTTTTTTCTTTCTGCAATATGTATAGGATTCTTTAGAATGATGAAGCTCTCTAGTTATTAAGCAGTGTTGTTTCAAGTGCATGACCTAGGATTCTATTAATGATCAGTTCTGACCTTTACACCTCCCTATAGACTCCTTGAGATAATGAGAAGAGCAAGGAAATATTGATTGAAAGTAATGTGGCTTCCTTGTAGATCCTGAGTTCCTGTGTTAAACAAAATCAATCAATGCCAACTGAAAAGCATGTTAATCATAACGTATGAACAACTTATATCCACTAACATCCTATACAAAACAGTATTGCTACAATGCTTGCAAAAGCAATTAAATATTACTAAAACTTCAAAAAGTATAAAAAAAAAATTACCCAAACAATCAAACCACATTTTGATTTTTTACATAAATTGTCTGAACACTTTGAATTCAATTAACTGAGCTACAACTAGTCCAAATTTAAGATTTTGGGATTGATTGGGATTGATCTCCGGGGATTTCTCACAGCACTCAGTGGACATAAAAGTAACCAGTACTCAAACCCAGAGCATAAGAACCTTCTAATCACAGAAGCAAACTAATGGTTGCCAGTCTAATTTTCTCAAGCAAATAAACTAATTCTCTCATACTATTTTCCTCTCATAAACTGCTGCTGTTTTCTGAAGAAAATTGCAGTTTATTCTTTACGTATAAATATATATCTGACAGAGGTATTTGAATTATTGAACATTTAAAGTTCTTTGCACACTTCTCAGGATACCATACCTTCATTCTAAGAAAGGCTTTGGGATAACAAATCTTATTTTCAGATATATWCTATTCTTGTCAAAGAACACAAACTCTGGGTTTATCTGTACACAAACTTTTATCAAAGAATTTTCATCACTTGCTTTAAAACAAATTTAAATTAGCAAGATACTGTGCAAAACCAAAGAATAATTGCTATCTTCCGATCTCTCACTGGTTCCAGCTTAAAAACCGACGAAGCTTAACTGACACACAGGGAAATTGCTCTAGTGATAAACCAGATGCTCTGTTGAAATATAATATCTTATCAAACTAATGCAACAGAGGTCATTGCTATGGAATTTGATCTCAGAAATGGGACTAGGGAACACCAGTTGCAAATAAAAATAATATAATGAAGAATGCAGGCAAACCACTGCCATAATATCACAAATCCTACATTCATGAATAAAAATTACATCATAACAAAGATACCAAATATACATTATGACTCTGTGGGTGTAGAAATGAAGCAATCAACACTAAATCAAGCTTTAAATCAGGGTGAATATCAGCGCCATTTTTTTCAGAATACATTAGCAATCTGCCATAGTTAAAGACTGCTGGAAAAAATACAGAGTAAATCAACCCTCTCCCTCACATGGAAATGTTTCAAGAAAATCTCTGTTCTTCATGTTCTGTTCAGACCAAGTCCTAAACACTGTGTTTCCATTTCTCAGAACTCCAGTTTTATCCATCTGACATTCAGTGTCTTTCCTTTCTTAGGAAAACACCTTCATGATGCAGCAGTGGAAACGGACTGGATTTTGGTATCAATCCAGGACATACTCCTGGGTAAGAGGAGTATGAGAGCTATGTTGACAAGCACAATCTCAGCCAATGTTTGTGAGGTTTAGGAGCCCTTAAATTACTTACTCCTGACACATTTTGAAGCTCTGGGAAATATATTACACAACTGAATATATTATAAGGTACTACTCTCCATTGAATATTGTACAAATGGCAGACAGGTACAACATGATTCATTTTAAGGTTGTGAAAATTACCAGCTTTGATACTGACTTCTTAAACCACTCTCTTGCCAGAAGCTGTAATACAATTTTTAGGTAATATTTTCTCATTAGTAGGTTAGCAGGGCACACTTACTATGCCTGCTTCCTTCATAAATGACTTTGCATTAATCTTTCAAAGTCTAAGGTTTACTTCCACGTTAGAAATAATCACATTAAAATCAAGACTATATAAAGAATAAAATTAAAAGACCTAATTTTTGGAGGGATTTTTCCTTTTTGATAACAAATGAAATGTCGAATAGCAGTTACATTCTTTGCATGAACTAGAATATAAATAAAGGAAAAAAAATCAGAACTACATTCCACATTCTATTTGAGACATCTTAGAGAAGGATTTGTTTGTTTGAAAAATGGGATTCTTTATTGTAAAAAAAAMCAAACCCAGTAATTATATTTGGTTGTTACATTCATAAACCAGCAGTGTTTGCCTTAATATCGGAGACAAAACCAGCTTTTCTCCTACATAATTTTATGTAGCATTTATGTCATGTTCAGAATAAAGCATTAAGTAGTTGCTTTTGAAAGACTTCATTCTTGAAATGTGTATAAAATTATGGAAGAATTCAGTATATATTCTTTAAACTATGAACCTGGTAAATTCACAGATGGATACTTGTCAATCAGCAGCCAATTTATCTGCCATCTTTACTTGCAAGAACATTTGMGACAAGATAAAGTGCTTGTTTATTCTTTCTTATATAATTGTGTTGATGGTATGTAAAACTATTTTTTTAAACTTCATTCATGACAAAAACCTACAGATCAAAGTCTTGACTTTTGCCTTCTTTTTAGTCTGGAAACTTGATATACAGTTCTAGGTATTATTTACCTTTTTGAGCTCTGATTACAAAACACCTTTCCCAGTGTTCAGAAAAATAGAGTAGCATGTCCTACATATCTGGTAGTTACCATTCTTAGCAAAGGGCTCAACATCCTAAGTATAAACTTTCCACAAAATAATGAAGAACCATGTTATTTGACTTTGTTATAACTATGTCACAGAATCAAAGAATACCAGGTYGGAAGGGGACCTCAAGGATCATCTGGTCCAACCTTTTCAGGTAAAATCACGGTTTAGACAAAATGGCGCAGAATCCTGTCCAACAATCTTAAGTGTACAATACTGGGGAATCCACCAGTTCCCTGGGATATTTCACTGGCTGATTTTTTTTTTTTTTTCAAAAATTATAATTTTGTGTCTAATTGCAATGTCCCCAGGAGTAACTTGTACCCATTACCCCTCATCTTTTCCAAGTGAACTCCTTGTCAGCTTTAAAAAAAATAATTACAGTATTTAGACATAACTGTTAAAGGGAAGCTCTATTTTTCAACTGATGAACTTCCCACTTATTTTTCCAGTGTGAAGTACTACATAAAGAACCTTCTCTGATTACATGATCTCTAACCATGGATCCTGTCATCCAGTTCTCTGTTTTCATAAAATGATGATTAACAATGAAAGCACAAGCAGAATTTGAAAGAGACTTTCTTTGTGAGCTTCCCCCAAGAAATCAGAAAAAAAAAAAATGAATATCAAATGGCATCAAAACTTCCACATTTGGAAAACAATCTAATGTAGGAAATGAAGGATGGGGTGTAGTCATGTCTTCTTAGTGACATGCACATTCCAGCAAAGTTTCATCTTAAGACACTCACAGGTGTATTTGATACATCTGACTTATCTGAGGCACTTAGGATGAGATAAATTACTCTGAGAGGGTGCCTTTTGCATTCTATTGGGTATAAAGGAAAACTGGAGTTACTAACAACAACCTCTTTATATCCAAGTTACAGCAAATCAATCTAACCACAGGCCAAAACCAACTGATGAAAAATTATGTTTTGCTTCCATCATTTGGTGAAAAACTCTGTTTTTCTTTCTTAGATTTTTGTTGTTTTAAAATGGGAAAAATGTGTTAATTTTTTTAATTGGTAGTAAGCATTTTTCCTAAAGTTACAACTATAAATGACACAGTAAAATCATTCCTTTCTTAAGCAATTAAATCTTATGATCTTACAATAAAACAGGAAAGGAGAATTACTGGATATAGTATATTGTGAAAGAGCCATCTAAGAAAATGTCTTACAGAGTACTAAAAACAGTGAAAGAAAAATGCAGAAATAGAATGTGCATGATGTTCTATATTTAGCTTTGTGGGTTGGCTCTGAAATCTCCTTTGAGCTGTCTTCTTTGATAATCACTGGTATGACCAAATTCTGAGGCAACAATAGGGTGTTCTCGGCAATATTTTTATCTGAGGACTCAAACCAGCCAGTATTGAAAGCCAGCCCATGAATTTATTAAAGTTCTATACATAGGCATCTTTTTTTTTTTTTTTTTTTTTTTTTTTTTGTCAATGGAGACTAGATCAAAACATACAGTTTCATATTTTTTTCAATGTGTCTCAAATTTCATTTTCAACATGAATGCTTGCTCAAAGCCTTGTGAGACAGACCTCTCTCGAAGACTGTCCTAGTGTTAATGCAACAAAGAATTTAATTTGTCTCAAACAATTATTTCAAAGTGAAAAATTTTCATACCTCCCTGTATGTGAGCAGTTTTTCCAGCTACATGCTATCAGTGCATCTGCAGTGATTCATACAGAATATCATTTTGAAGAGAGAAGAAATAGTGGACATGTTTTCCAATTATAGCATCAGTGTTTTCTTCAACAACATTAAATATCACACAGGAGAAATCACATTAGCCTCCCAGTGGCATAAGACCTTTGAGGCTTGTTTGCTGCATTTTTTAAAAATGTTTTAAGGAATATAAAGTAGGGGAAAAAAGAATGCCATTTCACTGCTGATTCTATCATCACATGCAGAAAATAACAGTACCATGCCCTTAATATTCAACTGCATATCAAGCTAAAACAAAAGTGAAATTTCCAATAAAAAAAAAATTAATTGAATTATCGGTACTATTAGTCCCTATCACCCTTTGGGTGAATTTCAGGTGCATTACCATTAGTAGTTGGGACAGCATAAAAACTTCTTCTATAGAGTTTTTTTGTTTTGTTTTTTTTTTAGTGAGACACCACTCTTGTATTGGCAGAAACYGATTGAATAGATTTTTGCTTCTTACCATCAACACACGCTGGCCTTGCTCTTGTTGTACCGGCAATCTGTCCTTTTTTACATGCACAGCGAGCTGTTTGTCGGGCTATAGTCCTTCGGGGCTGACTGCTATCTCTGTCCAAAGTTACAATCTCACATGTACCTGCAGCCAGTTGACCTGGAAAAAGAACCAGCAACAGGTAGCAGAGTCACTGAATGCACCACRGGCAATCTGTCACAGCCGAATAGAGTCACGGCCCTAAGTCACAGCAGACACTCCACGACAAATGGGCAGCCAGCTGATGGATACAATAAAAATGAGATGACACACAATTTTTCTTTGTGGTGGACATATGAAAACCTTGCAAACTGGTTCTGTCAGAAAATGATTTTTGTTCCATAAAAGCCAGAGAGCTGAGGTTACACAGGTTGCTTTTACTTATGTTGGCTAAGTAAAGGAACAATCTTTTACGGCAATGAATTTTAAATGGTGTGCCCTTTACAAAGTTTTAGAAAAGCAATTATAAAACATATGGCAAAAAAAAAAAACTTTCCCAAATTTCTATGAATACAATGAAGTCTTAACTGCTTTGTGGGTTGGTTTTGAAGGAAAAAGTCTTTCAAAGCATGCCCATGTTTGCCAAACTGTCAGTCCTCTGGCTCTTGCTTCGTCTGCACTGAAAGGTAAATAATACTGTCCCTGACTCATATTTGATGTAGCTGTTATTTTCTTTTTTTCCCTTCTACAAAATTTTCTGTGTAATTATTAAATGGCTTAAATGACACCACACCCTTAGCTCAGTAMTTACTTACTTCTCCGATATTGGTTGCTTTTCCTAAATACTAAAGAAATCCACACCACCTAATTCTGAATCTGAACCATGCTATGAGACTTAAACAAAAAGTTCTAAAAAGTGCTTTTATGAAGATCATTAGTCTGAAGTAAATGTTATACTTTTAATGCAATGCACTTCCTTTGTTACAACCAACAGTAGGCTAGTAGTATACCAAATTATTATCTCTTACAGCCAGGAAAGACACATTATTGAATTTTAACATGTAGAAAGATTGAAAAACATTTCCAACTATCACTTTGCATTAGATGTAATTTCTGGGATTTATAGTTCAGTAGTAAACATGTGCAATGCTCTAACTACAAATCACATGCTTACCATGTTTTAGTTTTTATTAAAAACAAAAAAAAGGTAATATTGTTTTAAGAAAAACACATGTATTTCCAATAATCTTTACAGTATTTTTTTTAATGTTGTTGAAATATTGAAAAAAAAAAAACCCCAATGAGACAAAACAAAAAAAACCCTGATATTTATATCTACATCAAAACTAAAAAAAAAAACCAAACTGAGATGTATATGAACGGCCTAAAAGTCAAAAAGTATARTGCTATTTCCTCATGCTGCTTTTTTTTTTCCCCATTCAGAATACAACTTTACCCAGTCTATTCTCTTAAGCATCTTAAGATGCTTATTGCGTGGAAAAGCAAAATATTGTAGACTGTCACCAGCCTTCTGTCTGGTTCACCACTAAGGCACCTAAATTTTATGTTTCTATGACTCTTACACTACAGTGAATTACAACATGGCAAAACTGAAGATCCCAAGGACGGGTATGGAATAAGGTACAACAAATTCATGCAAATATATGASTTATATAAATAATATACATTAGACATTCATAAATGCATATATGATATTCACAATAGTGAACACCATCACCACTGTGTTTAATGGCTCCTGGCAACTACACTTATGAGCTATGGTCAATCCTATGTTTTCCACCCAGTCTGTTAATAAAAACATCTTACTATAAACATATTGATTAGAGGACTTGTACTCTGTTATATGCTGCTTTCCTCTTTCTTTACTCAAAAATGGACTAGAATGCAAAGGTTTAGCAAGAATGATGGCAGCATATAATTTAATAGAAAAAGAGAAGGGAAATCCAGCTGCACTCATGTTTAACAGAAATAAGAAAAAAAATTGCCCCAATGTTAATATATTTCATTCTGCATTGTAGGAGATTTGTTGCTCCTAAGGAATATAGCTGCCTTTGTAGATCATGTGAAAAAATAAGATAATCAGAGGTGTATTTAAATACTGATGCCTTAGGCCACAAAGAAATGGAAGCATAAGTATGACACATTTATGGTTGCCACACTCTCCACCATCCATGAGTCTTTACAGTACCATTTTTTTTCATTAAAAGATATGATAAATCATATAATCCAGGTGAATAATTATATAAACTCCTATTTCAGAGGAAAGTAACCAAATTTACAGCACAGTGAAGGCAAATAATGACTATACTCAGAGAAAAAAGTGGAAGATCTATGTCAAAATMATTTGTGAAGGCAAAGGGTTTTCCAGGGACTGTAAGCAGTGAGTATCAATAAGAACACTTAATGATATTTTCTGCTTTTGGGCCAGTACAATTTTAGTTCTGCACTTGTTCATTTTGATTTAGCTGGGCTATTAGGTTTTTTTCATAATTATTATTTTCAGAATTTTTTTTTTTTCCAGGCATAGTGAAATTTTTTTGTGAATTTTGAAAACTAGGATACCTAAACAAGAACAATTGCTATCCGCAGATATTGTGTCTGCTGCCTTTCTTTTACTATAGCAGAAGAAAACGGTAAGTTATTGTAGAGCTACAGCAGCTCTTCTCAGATATATGACATAAATATCCTCTTGTGATTGTGTTGCATGGTACAAGACTGTAAGTGTATTGAGCACTGCAGTGTAGTGTATATCCACTGCTTCTTGGCTTTAGATGGCTGTAAAGCATGAAAAGTATGAGTTAAGGTTATGGAAGACATTATCCAAGAGAGAGTGTCATTCTGGTKTAAAGCCTTTCATTAAGTAGAAAGTAGAAGGTAGATCTGCTGGAGTACCTCACTCAGATGATGTGAGCTCCTTCAGCCTTTTAACAATTTAATCTAGAAACATAAGGTACAAAGGAATGGAACAAAATGAACATGCTTCTTGCAAGTACTGAATTGCAAAAATGAGGATACCTTTCATTTTCTGGGAAGTTAACACAGTGACCTCTTTCAAAGATACAAATGGAAAAAGTCTTTTCATTCGTGAACCTCTGAAAATGCTCCCCATCACACCTAAACCCAGAGAATCCAGGCAGCAATGGGTGGAGTTTCACTGGAGCTTTTCCAGTTGAGAGATTAAGAGTCACAGTCCATGAACAGTCACAGAGGTTCCATATTTTCATTGTATTTTCTGTGTGCACTTGCAGCACACAAAGAAATTCACCACCCTCCAAACTGAACAAAATAATCTTGGTGAGAAAAAAAGACAAGCATTATGAAAGACCAAAGTCACTCTAGACTTGTCAAAAAGTTTTGTTGGTTCTTCATTCCCAAGAAAATGTTGCGTTTTACTATTTTATGAGCCAAGCATGAAGATTATTTCAGAATTACCAYAATCCAGTTTTCCAAGTTAATTAGTAGATATTTCTTTGCTGTTGCATTGGTTATTATGTAAATAAATATTTTTTTAATATTTATTTTATAATTTTAAACCAGTAATTAAGACCTCACTGGAAATTTATTGTTGTTGTTGAGATGCTGTCATCCTCTGATTACTAAACAAAGAAAAGTTTCAGGTTTTGCTACAATATTCCGCTGTATTCTTAAAATGCCAGTTGATTGCTCCCCTCTCTCTCCCACCACAGATGCTTTTATATGGAATTATTTCATAAAAAGGGAAAAACACAGGATTCTGATTAAAAATCCAAGTAAAAGTAAATGAAAAATTAAAAAAAAAAAAATGCACAAATGCTAACATTTTAAATAAAATAAGATCGGGCTTTTGGCTTGTATCCTGGAATTGTTTACAATAAGTGCTGTATACAGAACTTCTTTTGCTTTTTTCTAAATGAAGTCCAGTTGGGATCAGTCTTCAAATTGCTCTTTGTGAGGCTTTCATAGAAGGAATCTGAATATAAGTACATATATTTAGCAAATGTGCAGGAAATATCTCAAGGTAAAATAAGGGTATTTTTAGAAGATCTTTAGTGCTTGCATTACTGAAAAAAAAAAGAATTTGTCACTGAAAAGGAAATTTGTCACTAAAAGCAAATGGTATTTTTCATGTTTATTWCTAAGACTCCCCTGTCAACTGTACGTCATTGCTGAAAGAACAAAGACTTTGAAAGGTCTTATTTTCTGCAATAGGTAAAACCCTTAAATAGTAAATATATTTGCATTACATGGTGGGCACTTGGGATAATATTTTAATTTTCTGAGGATAAAAATATTCCTGTTCTCCAATAGGAAATAAAAATCTATATAATCCACAKTAACTACAGCAACCAAGTTACAGATTTTTTTTTTTGATTTATACCTATTGAAAAGCTGAAGACTTTACCCAAAATTCATTTAAAGAAATAAAATCAAATTATCAACTAATGGAATCTGTGGGTACAATGAAAGAAAGACTTGATCTAAATATACAGATCTTTCCAAGAGTTTAGATTTCATGCTYATCCAGAAAACCTACTTCTGATTTGTACATGCAGGCTTATATTATAGTTTCAGTGAACAATTTTTCCATGCATCACCAATTTGATGCCTAGCAACACAAGCTCTTTCAGTTCAAAATGCATTAAGTTAGATGGTATTAAAATTCTTGGCTAGATTCAGATATGCTTTTGTCAGCGAACACAATGCAGGAGTTGTTTCAAAATCAGATCATAGGAATACATTCAATAGCTTTCTGTTACAATATTGAAGTCTTTCTGACAACAGAGCCATGCCAACTCCTGAGCAGAGCTGAGGATCAACAATTCCCACTGAAATAAGGGGGAAATGAAGTACTTAGTGTCACTCATTATCTGCAGTTTGACATTAACTTGAGTAACAAATATTTAAACACAATTCAATTTAAAGTACAAAAAGCATATGTTTAAGTGGAATTTCGGGTTTTTTTTTTCTTGTTATATAGCGTTCCTCAAAGAGAATGTCCTGAAAGAAGATCTCCTGCACCGAACACGAATTTCAGACAATTCACCTTTTCTTTTYCAGTTAGTTTATAATGACAGAGATTACAGCAAGGAATTGCTTTGCCTCAAAGAACCACACTCACATTTAAGCTATAATAGCAAAATTTGTGGAAATCCAACTAGCATTAAATAAGAAAGAACAACTCCCACAAAGCTTCTGAAAAAAATGTATATAATGTAAAAATGTATAKAAAGTAACAGAGCAGAATTGAATCAGCCAGTACGGGGAAAAATTGTTCAAATTCTTAGGCAAAATTTGAGTGAAACTATCAAATAAGAACATTGTTTCAATTGTTAACTTATGTGATAGAAGGTAATTTCAACTTTACAATAGTATATGTTCACAGAAATACACTAATTCCCTTTCCTCTTTTCAAAATCAATGACACTAAATGCATTTTTTTCCAAGACATTTCATGCATAATTTTAGACCTTATGTCTTTTTATTGAAAGAAATGTTGTGGCTGTTTAAGTAAGACRGTGCAAAACAATTCTTCATGCTAGTAGAGTTGGACAACCTGTTTTGAATAGTCTTTACCAGTTTTTCTTGAGGGCATGATTATGCTGTCAGTAGAAGACAGGATTAACGTCACTGAAATTAAAACTAACTAACCTGGATAATCTTAATCTATTGGTGTAACCCACAGTGTCCAGTAGAGTAAAAAGCAACATTTTTTTTTTTTTCAATTTTCTTTACATTTACTTCATTACAGGTTCAGAGCTATATTTGATGAGAGTCAACATTACAATATGACCTTTGTTGCTTCTCAACCTTAAAAAGAGTGATTTTAAATTCTGGTGTTATTAAAGAAAAGTATTTTTCTTAAAAGGTGTGGCTTCAGGGCCCATTTATGAAGGAAAAGTCACTCTAGAACTCAATTAGGTAAAATTTATGAAAAACAAGAAAAATATGATTAATTCCTTCTCATTTAAAGACTTAGTTTAAATATTTTTCAGAGTTCCACTCTAATGAAACAGTACATTATGTCCCCCTAGTAATTACTAATCTTATTGCAATTTTCAGACTACCACTTAGCCATCTCAAGCACATAAACAGCACAGACATTAGGAGGATAGGAAAATAGTTTTCAGCTCTTCCACTCTGAAATAAGCAGTAAATTTTAATTAAGATAGATCCTACTCTTCTAAGTAGTTGCACAGGAAAGAAAATCAAGTCTGTGGAGATTTGAGATACATTCAGGGCCTATTTTGAGATTTCATTTTTTCCCAGATAAGASTAATGCCCTAACTTATTGCACCTGATATTACTATTGMCAGTAAATACTTATTATTTTGTGGYATAATTARGAATAATTTCCCTTATATCTGACAATTAAAAAACACAAGAGAGATAAAAATAAATGTAAGCCCAAGCTGCAGTAAAAACAAGCATCAAGATTCCAGTTTACAAATGCAATTCTCAATAAGAATCAGTACAAAGGGGAATTCCAGATCAGGAAAAGCTCAAAAAGCCAAGGATATATGAATAAATGTGGAGGAAAGTAATTTGTACATAGGAACCTCATTCCAACCATATTTCCCCCATTATTACTTTAGAAAGTAATTCATCCTGAGTATGTAAAAATGACAAGGTGCTTGAGTTCTTTTTCTTTAAGTAAATTCCTTCTCTGTGCAAGTCAGTGTGAACAGCAAATCTCAGCTGCACAGAGCTCCTCCAAGGAGGASCTGCAGCTCCAAGGGCCTCCTGCTCACTCCTCTTCATGCAGGGTTWGTTAATTGCTTCTGGAGGCCTCCATTGGTTACAGAAAGGAAATAACTGCAGGAATTCAGGATTTAACAAAGCTTTGCTCATTTGCATGTCAGGAAGTGGCTGTCATTCTATTACTGAAAATATTTAAAGATAAAAAAAAAAATGGAATAGGAGAAAGAAAAAA